CTTCAAGGCGTGAAGAGGCCCGGGCTTTCCTTCGAGGGTCTCTTGGGCCCTCAGCTGCAGCACCCGGTCTAATCGGCTCCAGACTTCGTCCTTCGCCAACTCCTCCGGTGACGCATGGTCGATGTCCGTCGGGCCAGTGTACATCCACATCGGCCGCGTCCTCTCCGCCAGCAGGGCGACCCGATGGCGGAAGAAGGTGTGGAACACCCGCAGCCCGTCAAGGCCCTGTTGCACCAGCTTCTGGAGCTCCGCCCCGATGACCTCCAGCTTGTTTTGTCGGCTGGCGGGCCCCCATGACCAGCTATCCTACCTCTCCGTCCTCCTTCCGGTGAACGACGGCAACGGCGCCTCCACCAGGTTCCTGATATAGAACCACTCCCCATGCCACCCCCGATTGGAGTTGCAGGGGGTGTACGCGGGGTAGGCGCCCGACGCACTCGGCTTCTTCTGCAGCACGAAGCCCCCCACCGGCGTGATCCTGAGTGGCTTCCCCTCCGACAATGCTCGCCCAGAGAAGATCCGCCGAAAGAAATCCACGTGCAGCTCAATCCCGAGGAAGGCCTCGCACACGGTGACGAAGCCGGCGACGTGCAGCACCCCAGTTGGATTGAGGTGCTGCAGCTCCAGGCCCCACTCATTAAGGAGCCCACGCAGGAACCCGTGCATGGGGTACCCTAGCCCATGCTCATAGAAGGCGAGGAAGGAGACGACCTTGCCGACCCAAGGTCGCGGGAAATCCTCCCCCGCAGGAGCCCTCCAGTGCGCTACCTCCTTCGGCGGCAGCACCCCCTTCTCGGCGAAGGCGGCCAGCACTGACTCGCTCACACAAGATGACCTCCAGCTCGATATTGTGCTCTGCATTCACGAACGGATCTGTGAGTTTCTCCTCTCCCTCACTCTACCCTTTTTTCTCCTAGGAATCGCCGCGGCACAAGAACGCTCTTGGTGAGAAGGAAGGAGGAGAGGCGGCAGATGGGGAATAGGCGAAGGAACGGGACAGAAGCCCTCTCCCTTCCCCTATTTAAAGAGGAAGCGCAGCAGTTGGGGAAAGGAGAAGGATTGGGGCGAAAAACCCTCTCCCTTCCCCTATTCAATGCGGATGGGATACGACAGGACGCGTCCTGACTGATGGGATGCGCTCTACCCGACGAGACAACGCCTGGATCGACGGGACGTGGCCTGGGCATGGCCCACCACTACCGCACACCGGACACGGGAAATAAGGCGCAACCACGCGCAGGCGTCCCTCCGCCTTCCCAGGAAAGACTTGGAAGGGCCCAACAACGGGATCTCCGCCCAGGGGAGACAAACGGGCTTCTTGAGCCGATCGAACGGCTCAGGCAAACGCCGAGAGATAGGTAGGGAGCAGAGGGACGCCCCATGTGGACCAAGCCGACTCCGTCACGAACGACGAGCTCGGATCCCGTTCGGACATATCCGATAATGACTCCTCAAACCTGTCGCTCGAGTCATCAAGGTAACCCTACCAAACCCCTCTTACTTCATTTGATTTTCCGAATGCATAAAACATTCATTCATCCATTCTCATACATGCATTCACACATTTATTCATACAAGTCATTCATTCATCCCATACATCCGAAGCAACGCATATGCAATTGATGCATCACAACACTCCGTGTTGCGTCACGAAGCGACAGTTGCCTCATCTAGACACGAGCAACGACCGACAAGGGTTTGAAGGCCGGCCCACGAAGGGCTCGAGGCCACCTCACGTCAAACAGAGCCAGGGGAGAAATCATAGATGAGCCCCAGCGGCCCTCGCCCAGTCTGCTCTGAAGCAGACAAGGTCATCTCAACCTTCTCGTTTGATCCTAACCTCGAGCCATGCCCACAGAATGTCCATCGAGGGGAGGCCAGCGGGCCACCTGGGTCGGTCTCCGGAACGACTCGGGCATCTGCCCAGACGCGGGTTAAGGAGTAGTGAAATGTCACATGAGGGCTATGCCGACCCCGTCACGAACAACGGAACCGGATTCCACTCGAACGTATCGCTTAGCGAGCTCACCGAGCGCGTCACTCGAGCCATCAAGGCAAGCGATGTTAGCTCAGCCCCTCCGGTTGCGGAAACCACGAACGGGGTAACGCACGAAACTCAACTGACCCCTACCGAGCCCAACGAGGCTCAGGGGCTCAGGACGCCCAACACCTCGGCGCGCCCGACGTCCGGATCCGCGACTCCAACTCGCTCGATCCCTCGGCACGTCCGACGCCTAGATCCGCGACTCCGATTCGCCCGATCCCTCGGCTGTGCCCGACACCTAGGTCCGCGAGTCCATCTCGCCCGATCCCTCGGCTGTCCCTCGGCTGCGTCCGATGCCTGGATCCGCGAGTCCATCTCGTCCAATCCCTTGGCCCGCCCGACGCCTTGGTTAGCGACTTCGACTCGCCCGATCCATGGATCCACGACTCCGACGTGCCCGAACCCTCAGCGCGCCCGACGCCCTAGTTGACGACTCCGTCTCGCCTAGTCCCTCTGCCGCGACCAAACGCCTGGGACCGCGCTCTTGGAAACGATGGGTCAGAAACTAGAAAGAGGAGGCTACGCCCACCAAGGTGCATACACACACGCCCGCTGACAAAACCCCCCAGGCGATTATGCCCGAATCGCCCAGGGGCTCGGGGGTTAGACCCGCAGGTGCGCTCGCGCACACCCGCTATCGAAACAAAAAATTCCCACGCTGGCAACGCGAAAAAACCCCCCGGACGATTCTACCCGAATCACCCGGGGGCTCGAGGGCTACACCCGCGGGTGCACTCGCGCGCACCCACCGTCAAGACAAAAATCCCCCAAACGATTTACCCAAATCGTCCGAGGGCTTGGGGGCTCCTGTCGGGTTCATAAACCCGGGGTCTCTTATGGACCTGCTTCTCAGCAAAAGCTCGGCCCAGCAGACGACGTTGCGAACGACGCGCAACTCCTGAGCCATCCAAAAAACTTAACAACAGGCCAGAAAACGATCCAGTCTCCGGTCGGAAGGCCTGGCCAAAGAAGAACGGCGCTCGCTTCCTACTCCGGCCCGCCTCTCCGACCGGAAGGTCTGGCTAGCTCGCCTCTGACTCCGACGCTCGCTTCCGACTCCGGCCCGCCTTTTCGACCGAAAGGCCTGGCCAAGGAGGAACGGCGCTCGCCTCCGACTCCGACTCGCTTCTCCGACCGGGAGTACATCGAACCTCTGCTTACAGCTCTTCTCTGGCCGAAAGGCCGGAGCCGACTGGGGAACGACCGACCGGGGACGCCCGCTCGGTCAAGACCCAGGGAACGAACAGAGCAAGTAAGGCAGGGCGCTCCAGTTAACCGCAATATCAAGGGCCGTACCCTGCACGCCTGCGGGACAGTATTGTTAGGCCATGTCAGAAGGATGCACCGCAACCTTCCGAACATGTCAGAACATGAACAATGTTGTGGGCGCCGACATTTATCCTACAGTATGGTAGGCGCCGACATCTGCCATACCAGAAGAAGACAGTGGAACCAACCACTTGCATCCAAACACCAACAGTGTTATGGGCGCCGACAAACTGCCTTGTAGCTAACGGCGTGGGCAAGAAGACTAGGTAGCACACACACTCTTTCTCTCACTCTCTCTTGTAAGGCCATCCCCTTATCTATAAAAGGGGATGCGTTCTCTCCAAAAGACAGACTATTCAACCACGAGGATCAGTTCAGGTCGATTCACGAACGACTTGAACAACCTACGATTCGAACGATTCCAACAGAGCACACGCTCGAATACTTAGCGCACGTAGGAGCTCCCGTCTCTCTCGGCCCTTCGGCCCAGAGTCCGACCGGACCTCTTGCACCCCCATCTTACTCCCTCTCGTTTGTAACCCCACAGCAAACTTCGAGCACCTGGTCTCAGGAATAAAGCCACCGACCGACTCAGACTGGACGTAGGGCACGTTGCCTGAACTAGTATAAACCATGTGTCATTGAGTACTAGACCACATCCGATCACAACGTACGGTAAAACTACAAATATTTATATGTTGGTCACTTTCTACACCGACAATAAGAGACCTAATCTGTATGAACAAACCTGGAAACATATTTCCACAGGAATCCATGTTACTGAAGAATGATATGCCATCTAGAAAACTTTCTATTGTTATTAAGATTCAATTTAGTAGTAGTTCTTTTTTAATCTCTTCCTAAGAAGGAGAAACAAAAACAAACAACATCTTTGTTACACTTATCATGATCAATTTGGTATAGCATTACAGATTGAATGATGATGATAGTTCATTGCAAAGTAATAGTTCCCATCACGTTTCACAAATTCCATCGCATAACTCCACAAGCATCAGAGTCCTAATTTGTAACAATGGGCGAATTTTGAACGGCAATACATTTCCACAAGAACCTGGTTAGTGGTTACTGTTCCACAGGAAATATTGCCATCTGGAAAACTGCCTACTGTTAAGATTCGTTATAGTTGTTTAGATTCTCTTCCTAAGAATAAAAACAGGGACCCCTTATTGCTCGTGCCATGACCAGGCAAAAAAAAGAGAGGAAAATTCTTCTAGTAATGTTCATTCGAGTAGTAGCTGTTATGTCCTTAGATTTCCTAAACCCATATGTGCAAAGGAATAGCCAAAAGAAAGACAATGAGTGTACAACCATTTGCGCCTCGAATAAACTGAGGGCTTGGAAGTCCTTTGCAGCACCTAGCAATTAGATTTTGCACCTAGCAATTAGATTCTACCGAGGACTTGAACAACACTCTGGTCCAACCGAAGACTTCAAACTCCAGTGTTTCCAACCAACCCAGAATCAAAATTCAAAATCCTGTCTGCAATTTGGTCTAAGCACACTGTCATAGCCAACTCAGAATAGCTGTTGTCTCAGCCTCGCAGGAATAATGGCACGCACGATGACAAGGCATTCGATATCTTATCTGCGAAGTAGACTCTTCTAATCTAAACAAATGAAAAATGCGGTGCTTGGGAAATCTAGAGAACATTCGAGTTCCACTCACAGCGCCCATGAGCGCAGCTCCAGCCAGCCCTCCGTAGATGGAGCCTTTACTCCCCGACCTCGCATCTGAACACCAGAAAGCAGACACTCAGTGGTCAAGGAATAAAGTTGTGATCAACACGACAGGCCAGAGCAGCCACACTAGCAAATGCACCGGGGAGGGGACCGGGAATGCGCGTAGTACATGCAAAGGCGCCGCCGCCCAGGAGGAGGACGCCGTAGGCCGCTGAGGCGGCCGGGGCAATCTCGGACACCGCGGCGCAGCGGACCAGAGCGCGACGGCGGGGGTGGAGGCGCAGGCGGGCCACGGAGAGTCGAGGCGGCGGCTGGAACGGAAGGAGAGTGGCGGAGAAGGCGGAACAGGTGGTCATCAGGGACATCAGCGCCAGCACGCGGATTCCGGCGGTCGCTGTCCGGCCTGAATCAGGGACGAGTGGTGTGTGGTACCTGGCGCTCTATCTATCTCTATCCGGTAGTTTGACGACGGTCGACGGCTGCTTGAGGTGGTGTTTAAATCCCAAGATGTCACGTCGCGTATCAACTCGTATATTTGACAGTAATAATAAAATAAATTACAGAAGTTTTTAGTAATATTTTTTAACAAATGAAGAATTTTATTAGATAATAGCTAGGTACATGAACACGTTACAAGTAGATTATACAAATATCCATAAACTGATTTTTATCTCAATTGTATCCACGTTATAAATAGCTCTAGATCCTAAAACTAAATATGTACGACGCTTTATAGTATGTATGACCGTACATGCAAACACTCGATAAAAGGCCTGAGAACAGATACCCAACGAACGAAGGCCAACATTCATGTAGAAGGAGTTTAGAATCTTCTTCTTTCTAACGTCTTCCTCTTCTTTCTGCCATCGAAGAATAAGGAAGACTGATCTGAAACTTATTCTTCCTAGTCCTTCATTGTGGCCACATCTAACCAAAATAAAACAGAGAAGAAATCGGAGAAAATTATTCTATGACGGAGACACCATCTCCGCCTTGATGTCGCCATCGAGAAATAAAAGTCTCCATGTCATCAAATCGGTGAGGATACTGACATGACATCGTAGTTGTTGCCCATATCTTCAACAGAGCCCCATGGAGAAAATGATTCCACCTTGCCCTCTCGCCGTCGCCAGAGGGGAGGAGGAAATAAATCCCAAAACCAAAAAACTTGGCATGAAGAGACCCTAACCCTAAAGACTCGATCAACTGAGAAAACTTATTAAAAACGATGGATCCCCACTCCCTCCGGTCTCCGACGATATGCCGGGGGGAGGGGGGCCAGCGGTGGTGGAGGCGAGGGCAGCGGCGGCGGCGCTGAGTCGCGAGACCCTTGAGTCGTATCGCTAGAGTTCGCGAGTCCTTTAAGTCCTTAGTAATCTGCGAGACGAATTTATTAAGTCTAATTAATTCATCATTAGCACATATTTACTGTAGCACCACGTTGTCAAACCATGGACTAATTAGACTTAAAAAATCATCTCATAAATTAGTCGCAATATGTACAATTAGTTATTTTTAGTCTATATTTAATACTCTATACATGTGTCCAAACATCCGATATGAGTAAACTTTAGAGGGAGGAACTAAGCAATGCCTGGGATTTGCGGTAGGAGAACAAACTCACTTTTGTGTCGGTGGAAAGGGCCTTTTTCTCGTTTTGCTTTTTTTTTTGTTGTGGTGCACGTTTCATTAAATTGGTTTTGCACGCTCCAGCAGAGCTTGGCACGTCTCTTCAAGCACTAGGATTAGGATTTTTGCACTGCTACTGCAAGCGCCCGGACGTCTGAGTAGATGTCCGCATGCTCTATTTCACGGGCTCCACGTGGGGTTCGCGTCGTCTCGAGCGACAAGAGGGGAAGGGGGCGTTGGAAGGATCCCGCCGCGGCGTCATATAGATGCCTTGCCGGCGTCGAGAGGAGGACACACCGAGACGATGCAGTAGAAGGCGGAGAAGAGAGATGCAACACTAGATCTACTTTTGAAACATCTAAATGCAACAGTTACAACATATGTCTGAAGGTAGATATATCACTTGAACCTTGCTTCTGAAACACTTGAAAACAATTGCAACCATACGCAACAACCAGATAAAACACATGCAACGTATGTGTGAAACATATGCAACATTAAGATAAACACACTTGCAACATATGTCTGGAAAACACAGATAAAACATTGGCAACATACATTTGCAATATACGTGTACAACCATTGCAACATATGCAACATTCCGATCTACTTTTGCAACATACATCTGAAACACTTACAACATACCTCCAAAACATTCAAAACACTCGAAACATACGCTTTCGGCAAAACATGACAGTTAGACGAGCGGAGCACGGCACAGTATGACTGCTGAACTATGCACCTAGCATGAGGGCCCCACATGCCAGGTGCACGATCAGCTATCACATAGATGGCTTATCATAAACAATAGTGATTTGGATCTCGTGCAGGCTAGTTAGCGATCTGGGTTGCATCGTTGTGCAAGTTTAGGTACCTCGTGTGGCTCCTTTAGTAAGTTTAGGGACTTAAATATGTAATGTTGAAAGTTTGGGACTTAGATGACATCGCTAAACAAAGTTTAGGTACTAGATCCAACGCGTCATATAAATGTTGGCGTAGACGTACTACATCAGTATATAGTGCGGGTTAACCCTGTCTGGACGAGTGCTAGAGCCCAAGACAACTTTAGAGATCCAGAAATAAAAAAAATTAAAGTTTGAAACCTAAATAACTCGACTACCAGTTTTATCAAGTACATTGACCAGAACATAGGCTACGTGTCAAATTAAAAAACATGCATCACTTTCTCGTTTTTGAGACGACAGATGGTTGGAGCAAAACTGAAAAAGTCCAGGCCAAAAGTCAATCCATGGACCACTCATGCGCAACTTTCAAACTTTGAAGGTTGACCTGCAAATAAGATTGGCAATCACACTTTACTTCGCTTTTGTAGTTGAGATTTCGATTCAGGCCTTGTTAAAATGTAGGGTGTAAAATTTTAGGGTGTTCACATTGGTTGTCACATAGAGATGCCACATGTGGTGTTCGGATACTAATAAAAAATAAATTACAGAATCCGTCAGTAACCCGCGAGACGAATTTATTAAGCATAATTAATCTGTCATTAGCGCATGTATCACTGTAGCATCACGTCGTCAAATTATGAACTAATTAGGCTTAAAAGATTTATCTCATAATTAGCCACAAACTATACAATTAACTATTTTTTAATTTATATTTAATACGCCGTACATATGTTAAAACAGTTGATGGAATATGAAATAAAGTTTAAGGAGAGGACCTAGACAAGGCCTCACCACGATGGGCTGGCGACTGGCGTCCGTAAAATGGCAGAATCGACTATGATGTCATCATGGAGGCCTGCACCAACTACCCACCAATTAATGCTTAACGAACATATATTGAACAAATGATTACGAACAGTGTGCTTATGTGGATCAGAGCAGTGACGGAAGTGGATGGCTTTCCTGTAATGTATGCTAAGTTTAAATCATCGACTTGACGAAGATGCTCATTTAAAAAAATATATCTTAGAATTTAACAATGTTATTCTTGTAGGAGACATATCTATTGACAGCAAGCTGTCAGCGACTTCATCAATTTTAAAATCTGCGGACTCAATTTCAACTTAGTCTTTCGAATGTCCTCGTAGAGTAGGATATATATAGGGTAAATACAATGTTAGATCTAGAAATAGATCAAGAGGAGGGCTAGATAATAAAGGAGTGGGGTGGACGACTGTGGTGGATGTGCTGGCGCCCCTGGTTCCTCGCTTCCTAGTTACATCGTCAACCTGTCACGAAGGAGCGGCGACCTGCCGATCACCACGGGCACGGTTGCACGGAGGATTATAGGAGCCGGGGAGGCCAATATGGATGATGTAGTAGGCGTGGATAGAAGAGGGGCAGAGGGCAAGGGGAGGGCAAGTGGCTACCACCTGTCGTTTGGGGTGCTGACGCGCATGCACGGTCGTGGAGAGGAAAAAAGCTACACTATGTCTATTGCGCTGCCTGTAAAATTTTCTCACGTATGTGCATTAGGGAGTGGACAATTGCATGTAATAAGATATCAAAAGACACAAGGTTCGAACAAGGTTCCAAAATTATTGAAAATGTTACATCTCTTCTCTACAACTAAAACATACGGATTGTCAACATCTACCCGGCAGGACCAAAACACTCATACGATCCATATCCGGCAGGCAAATAATCACCGCATCTCATGCGATCCATATCCGACAGGCAAATAATCACCGTATGGAGACACTGGAAGGCGAGTAAATAAAATAGAATAAAACTCACGGAATCACCGGCAGGCAAATAATCACCGCATGGAGACACTGTAAGGCAAGTAAATAAAATAGAATAAAATGAAAAGAGAATTATGGGAAGAGAAAGGAATTTATTGGAATATCACCACGCAATGATCATGATCGTGATCCAAATCTCGTTCGTCGTCCTTCGCGTTGCGTGTTGACAACAAATATTTTTTCCCCAAAAATGAATTATTGCCATGCCTCATGCGGGCTAGGATATTGTAAGTCCGAGTATACATGTTTTGGCAAGGCGGAGCATGGATAAATTCAATTCGATGCCTAGCAATAAATTTTCAGCCTTTGAGGCAACTGATGTTTGTCGTAACTTTCAGACAACAAGCTCCAAGCCTAGCTTTTATTTCAGATTCATTACGATAATAAATGTGTTTCTAGACATTATCATGGTATAATACACGTGAAAAATTGAATTGATATATTCTTGATTTTGACTTGGCTAACAAACATCTCATTCAATTTATGTTGCCCCCGTTGCAACGCACGAGCACTCATCTAGTGTAATAAGATATCAATTGCTGTGAAAAAAGTTCTATGAGCTGCGAGCTATGAAAAGATTATTATGAGCCATGTGTTGTGAAAAAGTTATAAGTCATCTAGCTAAAACAAATCTAAAACCTATAATCTCTCTATTTTTCTTGAAACATATTTGCCTCTCCTATTCCTGAGCGACTGCACTCCCACATGTCCCGCTCTCTGGCGCACTCGATTCCCGAGCGACTACACCTCCGCCCGTCCTCCCTTTGCCCTCTGCCCCTCTTCTGTCCCTTGATAACTTTTTATTTTTAAGATAAGAAGCTCTTTTTACCAAACTGTTGGGGGAGATTTTTTTTTCTTTTTGCTAAAAAATTAAGATAGGGAGTTGTTTTACTAAAGTACTGGAGATGCTCTTAGACAATGACTTTTATTGAGGAACAGAGCTCACAAAGAAAAAAGACTAGCATGATTTAGCCTTGACATAAATCACACAGCCACACAGGATATGTGTAGGAGTGCGAGAAAAGGAAGAAAAAGAAGAAGACAACGATAGATTTAAATCAAAAAATTGATCGGCAATAACTATATGAAGCTTGTGCCAATGGATACATTTAGGATGTATATGGAGAAAAAATATAACCAAACAAATGAACAAAACTATTTCAAGAACTGGTTTCACGTAAAAATATAACTAAAAGCTATATATATCCACAAGCGCTACGTGCGCAAGCCACTTGCTAATTCATCAGCAAAATAAATAAAAAAACTCAGAAATCTTGTAGGAGTAACTCGATATAGATAATTATGATTGGTAAACTGGTCTTTTATTCACCCTTGTGGTACAGCTTCTGTTCTAAACTTCCGTCACACTCACACAGGTTTACAACAACAATTGATCGGGAGGACTAAATTACCATATCCGATCGTTATTCTACCATGCTTTATGGTAACGTCAAACCAAACCATATACACGCGAATTTCGCAAAAAAGAAAAACATATACACGAAAGAATCGAGGACAAATGTGTCCTGCAGCTTGACTACCTGCTTACCGATGCCTGTTGACGCCTGCACAACGTATCTGTATAAAGTCAAACTAGCTACGTACGCTCTTTACTCTTGTCTATCTTTTGTCAACGATCACATATAGATTTGTTTGCGCAGTCATGTGATCGGAAAAACGGGTGCGTGTACGGACGTACGGGCGCACCCTGCAGCATGTCACCGAACGCATTCTCCGTGACTAGCTGGCGTGGACCATCGGAGACTGCGGCGAAAGCAACGCCAAGGGGCTGGAGATGGCGAGGTGCGAAGCGGCGGCGCCTCCCCGGCGCGGCAAGCTGAGGCGCAGGGGCCGCGTGGCTGCCCAGCGCTCGGCCTTGGCCTTGCTCTGCTGGTGCTGGCGCACGAAGCGGCGGATCCGGTCGAGCGCCACCTCCATGGTCTCGTCGTCCATGTTGGCGTGGCAGACGCGGAACCAGCCGGGCTCGTTGCAGTGGAACGACGTGCCGGGCGACACGTTGAGCTTCACCTTGTGGATGATGACCCGCCACAGCTCCAGCTCCGCGTCGTGTGTCTTGTCCCGGAGCATGCCCCGCAGGTCCATCCACGAGAAGAGCCCCGCGTTGCCGGGCAGGCACGTGATGCCGACCTCGCGGAGGCCCGCGATGAAGCGGTCGTGGCGCGCCGCCAGCCGCCGCGCGCTCTCCGCGAGGAAGCGCGCCATGAACTCCGCGTCGGAGAGCATCTTCGCCAGGAAGTGCTGCGTCTGCGAGGAGACGAGGCCGAAGCTGGACATCTTGCGCGCGCAGGCCACGACGTCGTCGTTGTACGAGTAGACGATGCCGACGCGGAACCCCGGGAGGCCGAAGTCCTTGGAGAGGCTGTAGGCGATGTGGATGAGATCCCTGTTGCATCCGGGGACGTCGTGCTCGATGACCTCGGCGATGCTCACGAAGTCCGGCTTGGCGAAGACGGAGCCCGCGTAGATCTCGTCGCAGATGAGGTGGACACGGTGCTCCGTGGCGAACGTGGCCAGCATCGCCAGCGTGGCGCGGTCCATGATGGTGCCCAGCGGGTTGGAGGGGTTGGTGACGAGGATGCCCTTCACGCGGATGCCCTGTCTCCGCGCGTCGTCGTATGCCGACACGAGGGCCTTCTGTGTGAGGGTGAAGTTGTTTGCGCTGTGGCATTCGATGGGCAGCAGCTTCACGCCTGACCTCCAGCAACAGTCACGGTCGAAACTGTGATCACCATATACAACGAAAAGCGTGTCAGGGGGCTCAGGGCTCGCGAGAATGAAAGAGGAACAGGTACGGTGTGCCGTACGTCGTGCGCGCATGCATATGCTAACGTTGCTATAGGCACGGTTGATTGGATGGTCAACGATGCAAACGTGCACGGGAATTAAAGTCGCGTGGAACAGACCGTGTAGGAAATAACGTGTATGGTTTTTCATCGCGTGATTAACTTGGATTGCGTTGTCCACTAGACGACAATCGTCCTTGCGACTAACAAGAGTATTACTTTGATTTGATTAATTATGGGGAAAATGCTGCTTTTAGAGGTTCCTGATCGAGGTAAGTTTTGAAACGTTACCCAAACAAGGAAAGGTGAGGGGGTTAGAATCGACTAGTTGACTTTGACACGTACTCGAATTAGCTCAGTTTTTCCGTGCATTTGACCAACTTTCGAGTCGAGTCTAATGGATGACTAGGACATGAGAGTACTTTGGTTGAAAAAATGAAGGACGACGTCGATCAGGACATACGCTGGGTAGTATGGCGTGGGCACGAGGTAGGCGTCGCCTGGGTCAGCGAGGCAGAAGGCCAGAGTGTCCTGCGCGCCGGTGGCTCCTCCGCTCATCACGACGCGGTCGGGGTCGAACGTCACCTTCCCGCCCCTCACCTGCCCCATGAACTTGGCCATCGCCTGCAACAAACGATAAGCCGATCAAAACGTCAGCTATGACATTGTGATTAATAATTAGCCGCGCATGCATGATGGTCTGTCAGGACGGCGACTGCTAGCTAACCGCCGGCCGGCCGGTAGCTGCTCCGTCGTTTTCGCACGCAGTCGCCATTAGACGGCAGCAAACCTAATCAATGATTCTGGCGTTTTGCTTATTATTAGCCATAGCCAAGCCGTTAGTTACCTCTCTGAACTCCTTCAGGCCGTGGTAGTCCTGGTAGTTTGCTATCCTCCGGAACTCCGACGCGCCCTGCGCCGTGCAGATGGACGCCTCCGGGTGCTCCATGATCCATTGCTCGATCAGGTCAAGCGACAGCTGCAAAACACGCCAGTAGTTTACATGAGCATTCGACAGCTGGTGCGGGCAGTATTACAGATCGAGTTACAGTGTACAGAGAGGTGATTATAAGGTGTAGTGTAGCTTCAGGGGGACGGTACGTACTTGGTTCTCGGCGAGGCCCATCTGGATGACGCCGTCGCGGTTGCGGCGCAGGTCGAAAGGGTTCATTTCGTAGGCCTTCCACCCGTCGAAGTAGGACGAGTTCTCGCCGTGGCCATCGCCGGCGGCGATCCTGGAGAGGAGCTGATGCTCGGCACTGCTACCACCGGCCATTTGACGTCGGTTTTTTCCTTTCCTACCGAGGATCAGAAAGCTCGGCCGCGACGAGCTAACAAGGGTGATCGATCAGTGAAACAGAGCTAGCGCACGTTCAGGCGCTGTGTCTAAGCTGTGTGCTCCCGAGAGAGATCACTATTCACTAATAGCTGGCTGTGGTTGGGCTGCTTGTGGAGAGGCCTTGGAGGCTTGGAAGGAGAGCAAGCAGCTTCTGGTGATGATCTCTCACGGTTTGGGGGGCGCGCTGGTTTATAAGAGCCGCCGGCCGCGTCCATGCGTGGCCGCAGGAAATTTCCTTGAAACGCAGAGGGTGGCTAAGGTATTGAATAATGCGAACGCGACCGGAGACCTGTGGGGGGCCCTGCTGATCTTTTGAACGTTTCTTCACCCTTCTAATCGCCTAGGTCGAGCCGAAATTATCTAGGATGCTCGGCTGAACTAGCGAGCCTGAGCCTCACGACGTTCTGCTCGATTAGAACGACTCGCAATATTTGACAGGTTAACCGCCTCCCGGGAAGAGGTGGTTGTTACAGCACTAGCAGCTTCGTGCGACGGAACGGTCAGGTGATGGATGGTGACGGCAGTTACGCCGGTCCAAGAGCGTAGCCGGCGCGCGCGGCGGCGGTTCTACGTCTAACGGCGGCTTGTGGGATAATTAATGGGTTTTAGACCCGCACTGAACTTCAGGGTTTGCTAGCACGTCCATAACGAAGGATTCAACCTCAACAGCCGGCGCGCCCGCCGCCTTGCCAGGAAGGAAAATTGGTGGCGGCGTTTGCACCGCTAGCCTGGTGCTGCCGCCGCTTGATTGCTGAGGCTGATTGGCGGCCGGTGTCATCCGGGGGTTCTCTGTGTACTCTGCGTCCGCGCTGTCAGGGCCTTTGGTTGGAAGCCTGGATAACTTGCCTAGTAAAAAGTATTGCCAGAAAGTTGCCTGAGATTTTAATAAAATCAGCCTCGCCAGGCAAGTTGAGAGATAGTCCGTTTGGTTGGAAGCATCTACGCCGAGGACTGCGCCACGGCGCTCGCTTCATCCAGCCCACATCTACGCCGAGGAGCAAGGAGACGCCGGTAGGCAGCGGCATGTAAAGAACAGAACGGCTACGTACAATGGGTAGATGGATGGATTACCTCCTCCACACGATGACGGCAGCGACCAACTCCTCTCTAGACAACGGCGGCGGCGACGATCTCCTTCTCTTGTTCGCGCGCGAGGGGAAGTTCCGCGCCAAAACACCGGCCACGAGGGAAAACGCGCGGGAGGCGAAGGAAACCGAGCGAGAGTCGAAGGATACGCACGAGGCTGCAGCGCGTAAAGTTACGCGGATGAGGGGGGTTTTTTCCAACTCCTAGAATATTAGGAGATTGTATTATGAGTTGTTGGAGATAGATTTTTTTGTGGATCTTTCTAAAAACTTAGGATTATGAGAAGGTTTAGGAAACTCTTGGAGGTGCTCTTAGCCACCCTCTGCGTTTCAAGGAAATTTCCTGCGGCCACGCATGGACGCGGCCGGCGGCTCTTATAAACCAGCGCGCGCCGCAAACCGTGAGAGATCATCACCAGAAGCTGCTTGCTCTCCTTCCAAGCCTCAAGGCCTCTCCACAAGCAGCCCGACCACAGCCAGCTATTAGTGAATAGTGATCTCTCTCGGGAGCACACAGCTAAGGCACAGCGCCTGAACGTGCGCTAGCTCTGTTTCACTGATCGATCACCCTTGTTAGCTCGTCGCGGCGAGCTTTCTGATCCTCGGTAGGAAAGGAAAAAACCGACGTCAAATGGCCGGTGGTAGCAGTGCCGAGCATCAGCTCCTCTCCAGGATCGCCGCCGGCGATGGCCACGGCGAGAACTCGTCCTACTTCGACGGGTGGAAGGCCTACGAAATGAACCCTTTCGACCTGCGCCGCAACCGCGACGGCGTCATCCAGATGGGCCTCGCCGAGAACCAAGTACGTACCGTCCCCCTACAGCTACACTACACCTTATAATCACCTCTCTGTACACTGTAACTCGATCTGTAATACTGCCCGCACCAGCTGTCGAATGCTCATGTAAACTACTGGCGTGTTTTGCAGCTGTCGCTTGACCTGATCGAGCAATGGATCATGGAGCACCCGGAGGCGTCCATCTGCACGGCGCAGGGCGCGTCGGAGTTCCGGAGGATAGCAAACTACCAGGACTACCACGGCCTGAAGGAGTTCAGAGAGTTCTCGCCGTAGCCATCGCCGGCGGCGATCCTGGAGAGGAGCTGATGCTCGGCACTGCTACCACCGGCCATTTGACGTCGGTTTTTTCCTTTCCTACCGAGGATCAGAAAGCTCGGCCGCGACGAGCTAACAAGGGTGATCGATCAGTGAAACAGAGCTAGCGCACGTTCAGGCGCTGTGCCTTAGCTGTGTGCTCCCGAGAGAGATCACTATTCACTAATAGCTGGCTGTGGTTGGGCTGCTTGTGGAGAGGCCTTGGAGGCTTGGAAGGAGAGCAAGCAGCTTCTGGTGATGATCTCTCACGGTTTGGGGGGTGCGCTGGTTTATAAGAGCCGCCGGCCGCGACCACGCGTGGCCGCAGGAAATTTCCTTGAAACGCAGAGGGTGGCTAAGGTATTGAATAATGCGAACGCGACCAGAGACATGTGGGGGGCCCTGCTGATCTTTTGAACGTTTCTTCACCCTTCTAATCGCCTAGGCCGAGCCGAAATTATCTAGGATGCTCGGCTGAACTAGCGAGCCTGAGCCTCACGACGTTCTGCTCGATTAGAACGACTCGCAATATTTGACAGGTTAACCGCCTCCCGGGAAGAGGGGGTTGTTACAGCACTAGCAGCTTCGTGCGACGGAACGGTCAGGTGATGGATGGTGACGGCAGTTACGCCGGTCCAAGAGCGTAGCCGGCGCGCGCGGCGGCGGTTCTACGTCTAACGGCGGCTTGTGGGATAATTAATGGGTTTTAGACCCGCACTGAACTACAGGGTTTGCTAGCACGTCCATAACGAAGGATTCAACCTCAACAGCCGGCGCGCCCGCCGCCTTGCCAGGAAGGAAAATTGGTGGCGGCGTTTGCACCGCTAGCCTGGTGCTGCCGCCGCTTGATTGCTGAGGCTGATTGGCGGCCGGTGTCATCCCGGGGTTCTCCGTGTACTCCGCGTCCGCGCTGTCAGTTCGTGTGCTCGAGTGACTGGCGGACTGGCGGTGGCGGAGAACCAGCGGTCTTCATAGAGTCCCAAATGCCAACTTGTCAACTGGCTCTGTTTAATTTGTTGCTGTCCGAACGGCTAGACACGGCATGTAGGAGTACAACGTCGACGTGGCCAATGACGCGATATTGTCAGACTGGACAAATGGTGCTGGTCTAGTAGTCATACTGTGTCACAAGTGGCAGGAGTTCAGAGCAGGAAGTCAAGGGCTAATAAATGCTCAATGTTTTTTGTGTGCAGTCAACCTACTTGGCGGCAACGCAAGTCCTAAAAATTCGGTAAATTTCTACAGTGCTCGAGTGTTTCTAGCGCTTTGGTCACTCGATTTGCTGGCCGTCCATCTGGTGTTGGCAACGGACGCGATCATCCTGTGCCCGCACACTCTTCCCCACCGCATACAGCTGGAAAAGGCACTCACGCAGCACGACAGTCCACAGGGCTGTCACGTTCCATTACTCCAGTCTAGCTGACACCCCTGCACCTCACTTAGGCGCTGTTTAGTTCCAAAAATTTTCATCCTAAAATATCACATCGAATCTTGCGGCACATGCATGGAGTATTAAATGTAGACGAAAAAAAACTAATTGTACCGTTGAGTGAGAAATCGCGAGACGAAACTTTCAAACCTAATTAGTCCATAATTAGACACTAAGGACCTGTTCGAGGAATTTGGATGGTTTGGAGGAATGCTGAAGGAATTTGTGAAAGAAAAACACTATTCCGGATGAAAAAATAAGCGGATCTAAGCCGGGTTCAAGGGCACGCAAACGAGGCCTAATTGCCAAATATAAACGAAAGTGCTACAGTAGCCAAAACCAAAAATTTTCGCCAACTAAACGCGCCCTTACTTTGTATTTACACGATTTGGCTTGGGCGCCGTAAACATCTCCTCGCGCACTTTTTCTTCCTCGCTTCTCTTTCTTCCTTGCGTGTTGCCACACACGGACGCGACCTCACCTTCTCTTTCTTGCTTGCTCTCGACCACCGTGCACATTACCACCACCACCCTACCGCATGAGACCCGCAAAGTGCACTCACTACGCACTGCCGTCCCGGCGTCGTCCACAGGGCTGGCGTCACGGCCCATCAGACATTGCCTCCCCACCCATCCAGTCTACGCTGCCATAACTAGGGCCAACCGACCGCCGCTGCAACCTTGCACAAATTCATTCCTTGGTTAGTAGCTATAGATTACATCTCATTGTAACATATTTTACTATTCCTATTTTGGTGTAAGTTCTATGTTTAATTGGTGTAAATTGATTTCTTTAAATGAGAATGGTGATTTGGATTACTTGAATAGTTCTGTGATCTTTGTTTATGTATGATTTATTGCTTTGATCTTCTTCTAATTTACCTTTCATAAAATTGATCTGTTAAATCTGTCTTTTTTCTTTGTTTTTTGCTTTGATCTTCTTCTAATTTGCCTTTCATAGAACTGATATGTTAAATCTGTCTTTTTCTTTGTTTTTTTGCTTTGATTTTCTTCTAATTTACATTTCATACGACTGATCTGATTAATTTGTATTTTTTCTTTGTTTTTCGCTCTGTTTTTTATTTCTTTTATTTGGTTCATTGGATTTTGATCCTGTGGTTATGGGAATCGAGTGACAGAACACCTTGAAACACTCGATTTGTTTTGTTTGGTAAATTCGAGTGATTTAAGTTATTATGTCACCCGGGTGACAGGAGGGTGTAAGTCACCTGAGTTTTCATTAGACAGACCCTAAAAATTTCCCTAGGGGTGTCTGCTACAGTACTCCATATTGAACAACTTGCAGCCGATTTGGTCACGGACGGTGACTAGCGCCTTGTTCGTTTGGGCTTATTTGGCTTATAAGGCATGGCTGAAAGTACTGTTGGCTGGTTTGGTATGAGAAAAAAATATTGTTTGTTGGTTGATAAGCCATGGCTTATAAGACAAATACGACCAAGCGAACAGGCCGTAGAATCGCTTTCCTTCAATCAACGCGTAGAATTGAAGAATTGCACTACGTGGTGCATATATTGTCATATCGGTGCTGATGTCAATACTGTTTGAAGTCGATTATACTAGATGCAAATTGCAAAGGTCCCTTCACAATCAAATTTTGAAACGGAGTTCTATACTTGATTCTAACCTTCAACCTGGTCCAATGGCAATATGTATCGTCCAATCTCCTGCTGGTTCTTTCTAAGAAAGTTTGTGATCAGATACTACATTACTAATGTCAATGGTGTCGAAAGTTTCTTATACAAACTACTACTATTCATCGGCTAAGCGGAGGAAAGGATAAAGAACGTAAGGCACCGGCATGAAGTTTCAGCAAGCAGTTACAAAAGTGATCCAATATATATGAGCTAATTTTTTTATAAACTTTTTGATCGATATTTTAAAAATAATCTATCTGAAAGTTTTTTTTGAACTAGCCCCTTTTATCGCGCCACATGCCATGGCATGGCAAGCTTGATATACTGGCATGACAATGATGGCGTGGACTCCTTTATCATGCCAATGGCGTTGGCGCGACAACACAGTCCTCTTGCGCGAACCGCTTGGCCATGACTGAGAGAGCAGGGAGAAACTAGTTTACCGACGTCGTGTGGAGGAGGGTACAATTTTACCAGATCTCAAATTCATGCCATGGGTGTACGTTTACTACATGGGCTTTAGACTCCTAACATGGGTCTATATTTGCCACGTAAAAGCGAGAAGAGTGTGAGTAAAGGACAATGAATCGAGGGCCAAAAAAGATGGTGGGGTGAGGGATATATGGACGGGGGAGAGAGTAGGGACTAAGAGGGGGGGTAAAGAGTGGGATAAAGTCGAAAGAAACTTATTGTTTTAATATATACTAGCAAACATGTCGTGTGTTGCAACATACGTATAACTTATTGCGTGGTCACTTGGATATGTCCAAGCCAACTATAATGAGTTAGCTTGCTTTGTTGGATTTCAATTAATAAATCAAATAAAATTCCAAGACCTATAAAGAAATGATATGTTCAATAAATTGATTAATTCTATATGAAAATTGATTGGAGATTGTCTCATTTTAAATAGGTGACTATTTTATGCACCTGTTGTGAGGTTAAAAAAGGTGAAAGGTGAGCCACTCCACCCCTCCCCCGATGCCAAGCTGTGTGGAGCCACGGCGTGCACGAGCTTGACTGACCAGGCCGGCCATCACATGAGTGGTACGTCACCAGCGAAGATTTTGCCCCTCAAAAAGAGGGGTTTGATCAAGGATGGAATAAGAGATGTAAGAGTGATGGATGGACAGATAGAGGAGAAGAAGAGATGTGGGAGTGAGGGATGAATGGACGTGGGAGAAATAATGCTGGACTAAAGTCAACGAGGGATAATTTTTTCCTTTTAATATTAGACATAGACTAGCAAATATGACTGTCGATATTTCACCACCGATAGCCTGCCACGGGGGTACCCGGGGCAGTTTGTTCGGGCTTCAGCGTATGCAGAACTCAACGGTAAACGCAAGAGACAGTCGATTTATCCTGGTTCGGACCCTCGATTATGATCGAGTAATAGCCCTACGTCCAGTTGGCGTTAGCCTTTGCGTTGGATTGATTGTCAACTGTCTCCCTTTTCCAGGAACCCTGCCCTCCTTTATATAGTCAGGAGGCCAGAGTCCTAGTCGGCTTACAATGAGAGTTTCTAATAGGATTACAGAATAATACTACTACTAAGTCCTTGCCCTGGATCAGACCATCACTGACAAGCTCGCGCAACTGATTCTCAGTCGTAGTCGGAGCTGGCCAGATCTTCTGAGCAGTCCTCATGGCCATAAATTCTTGATTTTCAATCACAGAAAGCAATGCCTCCTCGTCTACAAAGGCTGCCTGGGACTTGCTCGCTGATTTCTTCCTACCCATATACTAGTGAAAGCAATAAAGCACTAAGAAACGATGAGGCAAAGATGGCGGCGCTTAGATGACGGCGACAATGGCGGCGGCGGAGTTTTGAAGACTAGGGTTTTCAAGGCAAAAGCAGGGCGGCAAAGAAAAAGAAGAAGAAAGGCCTTTAAA